GTAATAAATTTGTGTTAATTTACTTTGACGCTAACAGGCAATTTTAAACTGAAATTAAAGTCTCAAAGGGAAAATAAAGACTTTCTGGGTATTCTAAAGCCTTCAAAAGGAGGAAAGTGGAGGAAAAAAGAAAGGGTGGACTTGGAAACAACATAGAGTGCCACCTGGAAATAAAAAGAATTTACTGTGAAATTTTAACAAGACTTCCAAAGGATATATTGTAACTGAACGTTTGTTACAAGATAATGGAGCCCCTGGAAAGGGGAAAAAAAAAGCAAGAAGAAATAGTTTTGGATTATTTGGTGAATTTTGGAACTTTGGGTGTTGGATTTTTAGTGGTTTGAATTAAAATCAATCGGGTGGTTGTTTAAAAGTGCTTAAAATGGCAGTACTCCTTGAGAAATTAAAAATGGAACTTTAAAAAATGAAAGATGAGTTGCAAGAGGGAGGAGGATTCTTTGGCTTCGCACTTCAATTCTTAGAAATGGAGATTTTGAACTATGAAAAACAAAAAGGGCTGGACAAAGAAGAAGCCATCTTTAATGATCAAACAATTCATTGTGGGGTAAAATGGAAAAGAGGGGAAGGGAGTTAAAAATTCAAGATCAGAGGAAACAACTAAAAAAAAGAATAGTCTGAAAAGTAAATACAACATTAGGAAGAAGCAGAAGAGAGGATTACAGAGGGGAGAATCAGAGAGAGAGGGGGACAAAAAGGGTGGTGAGAAAAAGAGGGGAAAGATAAAAAGGAAGAAGATATAAGGGACAGAAACAGGAAATAAAGAAATGGGAAGCGTACAAGGATTAAAGGTATTAGCCTATTTAAAAGACATAAAGATAATGGTTAAAATATAAATTAAAAGAGAGGATTCTACAAGGGTACAAGAGATAGTGTTATATTGGAAGTAGTAATGAGCTAGAAAATATGAAACATAGGTGATTAAAGTGAAAGACAAAACTGGTATTGTTATGTAATGGAATGCTTGCTAATAATTAAATGAAATAAAGAGAGAAAGGGAATAAAAGTAAAAGAAGAGGGAATAAGAGGAATGAATGAAAATACTTTAATTGTTTTGAATGATTTATAAAATACAATTGAAAAGAAATGTAAAAGATTTATAATGGAATCAATATCAGTTGTCAGGATGAATTTGAATAGAATAACCATTTTATTCATTATTGTTATATAATTTTTCTTTTTTTAGAATTTAGTGTGTATTTTTAAGGGAAAGTACCAAGCAGAATTCAGTTGATAAAAGTTATATGATATAAAATAGATATTAGAAAATGAATGTTATAATTGTATAAGGTATAAATTAAATGTTTAATGAGATTTGAAAGGATAACAATTATAAGATATAAAGGTGACACACTCTACTTGGTAATGATAGGGGAAACCTTCTTTTCAATGCCTGGAAGGGGAGGGAATTGTTTTTTTTTTCTTTTCCCTTTTGGGATGATGATGGAAAAAGAATGTATGAAATTGTAAACAGGACAGACAACAGTACAAATATAATCTAATTATCTAATCATAAATAAGGTTGCGGAAAGTAAGGGAAGGGAAAAATTATTGAGAAATTGATAAAATAGTGACAAGATATGAAATTGAATACAAAGATAAATATGTAACTGAGATTATGTCTCAGAATAAATATTATTGAAGTTTTTTGAAAACCCCTAATCTTTTTCATATGTTCAACGTAAATTTTGTATTGCTCCATCCTTTACCTTTTCTGGGTTTTTTCCTGGTTCCACATTTAGGGACTACTTATTCAATGTCTGCTCAAACTTACGACAGTATTGAATGAGTAGTAGTTATGAGTGGATCTCGTGGTTAGGGCCATCTAGTATTTTTGAATGTTTTGCTGTTTTTGATTCATAAATCATCCTTAATTTTCTAGGGCACCCCTTAATGTAGGCTGTTTAAAAGTTTGACAGATATCAGGCAGGTTCTATTGATAACTTTATTATCTATATAATAAGTTAATTATAATTTGATTATTATAGTATAATAATATAATATTAAAAAGTTTATTATTAGTTTATTAACATTAAATTTTTACTGGCTTGCCCTCCCCCCACAAAAAAGGATTAAACACTGAATATTTATGATGTATTTGAAATAACATGGGAAGCTGTCAATGTTTAATTTATTTCAGTCTTGTCAATTCTGAGAGACCAAGGCTTAGATGTAAATAGAATTCAGGAACTTAGGGTTTCCTTCCTCTCTCCTTCCCTCCCACCCTCCCAACTGCCTGGACAAACCGGCCCTGCAGTTTTCTTAGAAAGATTTCACAAGTGGCTTACCATTGCTTTCTTCCTAGGAACTGGCTTAAGATCACCTTACTGGTTTTGTGCCTAAGATAGAACTAGAATTCACTGTCTCCTGGTTTCTTAACCACTACACCAGACTGGATCTTTGGGCTTTTCTGTGATCATGCTGTTTTCTAAATAAACCTCATCTTTAGTTTTCTTTTTACGTAAGCATCAGAGCAGATGTTATATTCCTAACCATAGTGTTAAACAATTATTTCTGCCACATAAAGCTATCTGTTACCCAGCAATGAGCTATTGGGCTCAGAGTAGACAAAGGTTTAAAGATTATGAAAAAAGAGATAGGTTTTTTGTTTCAGTTCACAAGAAGTGCTTATCTGTCTGCAAGGTGGACAGCTTGATACGATAGGCTGGGCGGTTGTAAGGAGAGCAGACAATTGAGATACTGAACAACAGGATGATGCCCTCTTCAGTTCTGCAGTTTAATTTGCCCCTTTTCTCTTAAGAACATTGTGATTGTGTCTGCTTCCCAGACCTATATATGTGAAATGGCAGATATGTAAATGTAACAAATACATAAAATAAGTATATCCCTGAATCCAAGTTAATATGCTTTGCATTTGTTCTGTGCTTTTTGTATCAACCAAGAACTGGAAAGTATTTCTTCTGTGCTTTTTCTCTTTGGCTCTCAAAACAAGGAGTGAAGTAGAGTAAATCCTACATCAGGCTTGAGTAAATGTCTGTCAACAAATTAGCAATAGGATTATCAAAGTGCATTCAGCACTTTATATAATTTAATGGTTAATGTATAGAAATTTTTGTCACTTCTGCCACTGCCTTCACGTTTTTCTTAAGTTAAAGCAGGAAAGATATACACACATTTCTCTTCAGGTAATCTGTTGGGAGCTATGTGGAGGGTATTACATTTTCTACACTTCTTTCTTTTCATTGCCTTCTTCATGCTTAAATGGAAGAGAGTTGGCTGATGTCTTACAGAAAGCTTTTGAGATTAGGCCAAGGACTGCATTAAATTAAGAGGAATGTACTAGATGGCTCAACAGCTAATGATTGCCCTTTCCTGATGCAGATCCACAGTGATGATCTGATATCTTCCTGCAAAACAATAAGGGAAACTTATTTGGAGCCAAGAGAGAAGGGTGAGTGCTCTGAGGTGGCTTCTTCAGCCATACTGACTAGCCTGCTGGGAATTACAGTTCCAAGAATCTGAAGGGCACCAGATTAGGTAGTTTGTGTGATGCACAATGATTATTAGGTGGGTTGGATTTATTGGTACTAATGACCCTAATGTTCTTTAGTATCAGAAAAAGGGCCGCTCTCTATTGGATAATATGATTTTATCATTTGCATACAGCATTAGACTTAGGTATGCTTGATTGCCCACAAAAAGAGAACATTTTTAAACACAAACAAGCCCACCCTTTAATTTACTATTGAAGAAAATGTGTATATCTGTGTCTGAAATACGATGAGCTTCAATCCTCAGAAGATTCTTAATTGCTATAAGTTTCAATAATTCAGAAGTAGTATTGATTGTAGAGATGACACTTGGACTCCAAGATGGGCAAAGCTCTGCTTTTCTTTGGAGACAAAATGCTGTCGGTCTAACATCCTATCTAAATCAGCAGGTTAATTTCAAAATATTATTTTTGTATTACACATTCTTGATCACCAGAATTACCGACGTTGTCTTCAGGAGCCAGGACTGGAAAATTGAAAGAAAATAAAAAAAAATTTGAACTATGGTGTAAGTGGAAAAATGAAAGAGAAATCTTAATGAAAGGTGTAATGCTCTGAAAAGAATGTTTTTGATACAGATTCACAAGTTTGATTAGATAGTACTATTAAAAAATCATTTTTAGGACAATAGGAAGAGTGTTGTTCCGAGTGGCTTGTTCCACTTGGGATGGTTTAGGTCATCAAGGGCAGCTTGATTTATGATTTCTTGAAATAGTGTTGTAGTAAACATACTGCTATTGAATAAATACATGGTAGTTACTAACAAATTCAGCATCTATAATTTAAAAATTACCTGTTAATCTTGACTGAAGATAATTTTGAAAGCTTACACTTTTATATGAAGCTCTTGATTTTAATGTTAGAATACTGCCAGGTTCTGAATTACACAATGCTTAAATCTGACTAAAACTCAGAAATCTGACTCAGAAATTCTGACTCAGGAGTACCAAGTCCTTTGGCTATAATCCACAGAATTACTTGAGATATATCTAGCAATTATATCTAGGCTTACTTTTGGAAGAAACCATTTAAAGGCCTGAGGAGGAGGGAGTGGAGAGGAGAAACTTCAGTTTCAGAGTAACTTTATTTTATTAACAGTCTCATAAAACTGAATTTGTTTCTTATGACCTTGTCTAAAGATGATAAAGACAAATAATAAATTAATTCTCGCCCTAAAATCTTACTAGGTAGCTTTCTCAAAACAATCCAGAAAATCAAACTGTGAATTTAAACATGATTCCTTGTGCCTGTCCTTTCCATGAGTTAATGCCTAACAAGAAGGCTTCATGGGAATGGCAGGCTACTGGTATGCTGTAACAAAAATTGTGTGGTAGAAAATACATGTCTTGTCTAGTAGTAGAAAACTTTTACTAAGTATTAAAAAAAACCAGTCAAACTAAAATGGAATTGTTATTGATTTGAAGGATGAGTGCATATCAATAAATCTGATTTTTCAACTTTTTCTCATAGAAAATCAATGCAAAACACCATGAAGGGCTCTGTCAACATTGTAAGGAGGTCCTGGAATGGCGGGTAAAATTCAACAAGTATAAGCCATTAACACAGGCTAAAAAATGGTGAGTAAATTTGTTATTGTCATATACTAGAAGCTATTTGGCCAGTCCAGCAGATATGGAAACTTTTAATCGATTGTGGCCAAAGAGAGGGTAGATCAGACTGTATAGAAAAAACCCCTCATCCTTTAAAGGGAGCAAAAATACCTTAAGAGTCAACTATACTAGAAATATGCATTATGTACTTCTGAAGCTTCATTAGTAAATAATAAGGTACACTAAGGAAAGATTAGCATAAAACACTCCTTGCATACTAAAAACTGAAATTAAGCCAGAGTTATACAAGACTTCCTTAACCTAAAGTAGGTAAATAGTTAAAGTATGAAAATGCAGCTTCAACTTCCTCAAACCTACAGTTGATCAACAAGTAACAGTGGTTCTTCCATTTTTTACTGGCAATTGAGAAGCAGCCTCAGGAGACTATGATTTTAACCACAAAAAGAATGGGAGGTGATCAGTCCTTTCCATGATAACGAAGCAATTTTGCGCAGCTTTAAGGGTAGTTTTTCTGTGACCCTTGCCTGTTCTAAGATTTTTGGAGGTGTTTTTTTTTTTATTAAGAAAACACCTAGGTTTTGTAACATGCATTTCTGTCCAAGTGCATCACTCGGTGATTCATGCAAAGGAATTGTAAATAACCTTTGAGCTTAACTCTGTTTAAAATGTATCTTATCAGTATTATTCAAGTCTCTATTTTCCAGTGAAAAGCAAGTGTTCAAAACAAGTATTGTGTCTTAATTCAATCCTGTACACAGAACAAAGAAGAACATAAGTTTAAGAAGTGTCTGCACGTCATTAGGGATATTTTTTTTTCATGCTACTAACAAAGTAGTATGAAAATTACTCAGAGTTGCATTAATGATTCTTGGCAAGCTAAAAAAGAAATCTGACAAGACAGGGACTACCTGTATTTGCTATACATGTTCCTCCTGCTTGGCAAGGCCTTTAAACAAATTGGCCTCAAATTCAGTCAAGGCATAGAATCACTTATGAATAGGATTATCTGCTGGGCAGAAAAAAAAAAGCTCTATGATCATATCTGGCAGCTTATGAATATGCCTGATATAGTTGTTGCTAAAAAAAACAGAGACTGGTTGGCAATGGTTACTAACTATTTAAATCTGTCTGTTTATAGTTTTAGTTTCATAGATACTTGAAAAATTAAGTATTTTCTATCAAATGGTAAATATGGCCATAGAAATGGACAAAAGGTTTAATGAAAGATGCACTAGAATATAAAACAAATATGCCCTGGTACTGTGAAGTCCACATCCATAATCTAATCCACATTTGGAAGTAATTTCCAAATTCTTTGTTTTTTGAGTTGGATTTATTGCATAAAAGATTACTTTAGTGTATGTGGAAATTTATTTAATAAAAAGATCAAACTAAATGTTTGTTACATGTGCGTAGATACAAGTTCATTTGAAGGCCTAACCATTAATTTTGTGCATCTCTGTGTTTTAAAATCAAATCATTGGTGATTTTTAAAATACTTAGAACTAAAAAAGATTAAATGTAGATAGATATTTTTATGCACACATTGAATATATGGTAAAAGACTATTACTGGCTACTTTAAACATCATCTATATGATAAAGTATGATTAGGTGCTACTAGTTTCTCCATTGAGCTGCTCTGACCATCTAGAGAGTGGGAGGTGCTTAGATAGGCTGGGCTTAACTGTTAGGACGCTATTGCTCCTCCCTGGCTGTTCCCTAGCGCAGGGGTCTCCAACCTTGGCAACTTTAAGACTTGTGGACTCTTTGAAGCTTTGCTGGCTGAGGAACTCTGGGAGTTGAAGTCCACAAGTCTTAAAGTTGCCAAGGTTGGAGACCCCTGCCCTAGCGTCCCCCAGTTTTAGCTCAGCCTTTGATGTGATAAGCAGCTTATCCTTGGCCGGAGCAGGATTTAAAGGTTTGAATTAGTTTGATCAGAACAGATTTCCAAATTTAGGTTTCTATTTACTAAGTTCTGACTGCAATTGGCAAGAAAGCAGTTGGAATGACAGAAAGCAGATTGCCTTGGCGATCTGGCCGCTTTAGCAGCCTCAGGGGTTTTGGGATTTGCCCTGGTCACGGCAGTTGCTTCTCTGGGAGAGAACGCTGTTTTACATTTCTTTGCCAAACAACTTTGTCTTGCCATTGTGATTCGATCTGCAAGCCGCTTTTAAGGAAGCGTGCTTATTTGTCTTTAATTCATTTTGCCGGTGGTTATTTCCTCCCCTCGGAGAACTCAGGGGGTGGGGGTGTCGGAGCCTCTCTTATCCCCTCCTCACTGCTCAGTCACACAGTAGCTTTTTTATCAGATGGGTTGAGTGGCAGAGGCTGCTGCTGTGTTCGCGCCTAAAAAAAAGAAAAGGCCAGCGCCATTTTCCTTAGGGGCCTATAGACAATTTTGGTGCGCTTTTTAATGGACAATGCCATTTTTCCATGTTGCATTGTAGGACCGTTCACTGGTTCACCAGTACCCTGTGAGAGGCTTTACTCACCTCTAAGCACACTGTACAGTTACAGAGGGAAATAAGGACATTTAACTCCCTTCACTCCGGTTTCGGGGAGATAAAAAGCTTTGTTGTTGTTGGCTGCCCTCACAGGAGAAATATATATATATATACACACAAGACAGCAGCACAGCCAGCACCAGGCCACAAGTTAGCCTGCTCAGGAAGCTGTGGAGGGCCTATTGTTTCTCAGTTGCCCTTACATAGAGCGTTCTCAAAAAATTGGATTAAATGTAAATTGGTTTGTCATTCATCCAGAATATTGAGTCAATTCAACAGGAGGAATTATAAACCTCTCAAATTTTATAAACAAATTTAATTCAAATCAATTAAAACAAAAAGAGAGAGAGAGAGTATTCATAGGGTTCCTGGTGGTGCAGGATCCTGGACGTGCCAACTGTATACACACACACACACACACACACACACACGTATGTATGTATGGTATTCAGCTTTGTTCAGGTATTTTCCCACGTCATTATAGTTGTGCTTTTAAAGTTGTAGCAACGTTTTGGCAGAATCTCATCTGCCGTCATCAGGCTTCTGTATTGTGTTGGTCTGTGAGTCAGACTTTCACAGCCATTTCTGTTTTAAATTTGGTGCTAGCCTACTGCTGTGCCAGAATGGTTTTTTCTTCATCCCGATTGGTTGGGAAGCGGGATCCCTGTCTGTTCGATCCTTTGCGCATATGGGACATCATCAAACTCAGGTATTCCCCAATATCCCTGACGTACCAGCCCAGGGTCTTCGGAAGGAGGTGGAATTAGATGACCAGGATGTTCCCATGGAGGTGGGGTCGATCCATCAGATGGACTTGGGGTTGTCAGAGGCTGACCCACTAGAACGAGGAATGTCGGATGACGAAGGCCTCATTCCGGACCAACCCACCTTTTCTGGCCTTTTTCGTCTGCACTTCTTTAAATCTTTACTGTTCAAAGCAAAGAACACTGCTAAACTAGGCACATCAAGCCCTCATCCATTGTCAACAGGGTCTCAGGACGAATCCGAGGATCTAATATTCTCACAACCGGCTAATGAGGCAGAAACTATTCCTGTCCCTCGTATGTTTGCTGAATTAGTACAAAATCAATGGGCATCAGCAGCATTCTACCCAGCCCCAACAGGGTACAATAAACGATATTATAATTTGGCACCAGAGTTTTCAAATTTTCTCAAAACGCCGGAGGTGGATGAGCCCATTGTGGCACGGGCCTCTTCTTCAACCTTTCCCAACAAGGCCAAGGAAGCCCTGAGGCCGGAGGAAAAGAGAGCAGAGTTGGCACTCCGTAGGGCGCATGTTTCTGACACCTGGGCCATTAGGGCAGCTACAGCTGCGTCCTTTTTTACACGGTCCTCCCTACGATGGCTCTTCCACTTGAGGGATATATTGCCGGCGTCAAATGTCAGAGCCCACCAGGACATTGCTAAGATTATTGCAGCAGCAGAATTCTCCACTGACGCCACATTTAATGCAGTCAAATTCTCGTCTAGAGCCATAGCATCTCACGTATCAGCACGGAGACTGCTATGGCTCAGACATTGGCAGGCGGATACCAAGCACGGTGGCATTTCAAAAATATGAGGCTCTATTCCTATCCTTCAACCCATCCACTTTAGGACACAGGGTGTCGTCAACGACCATTGGTAGATGGTTGAGAGCCACCATAGCTAAAAGTTACGAATGCCAGTCCATCTCAGTTCCTAAGGGCATTACAGCCCACTCGATAAGGAGTGCGGCAACATCAGCAGCATGGGCCACTCGGGCTTCCATAGACAAAATTTGCAGAGCGGTGACTTGGGCTTCACCATCGCCCTTTGTCAGAAATTATAAAATTGGTGTCTATACCTCAGCGGATGCTTCATTTGGCAGAAGAGTCCTGCAGAGGGTCCACAGAGTTTAGGAGTGGATTTTAATCCAAACGGAGTCCCTCCGTAAGGACAGGCCAAGCTTTGGTATGTCCCACTTCTGGATGCTCTGAACAGCTCATGGGAGAAAGGGTGTTGGTACTTACCTGATACGCCCGTTCTCTGTGAGCTGTGAAGAGCATCCAGCCCCGCCCATTTCTTTCTGTCTGGTGGGGTTCCGTTCCAGTCAGGGATCTAGATTAGATGATGAGTCCCAGACTTTGGCACTCAGTCTTCGCAAAACTGGGGGATGCTGAGGAGGTGTCCCGTGGAGGAAGAGGAGCGTCCCAGAGTTTTAAGCCCAGCCTTTCCAGAAGAGACTGAAGCACCTCCCGCTTCTGGATGCTCTTCACAGCTCACAGACAATGGGCGTATCAGGTAAGTACCAACGCCGTTTTTCATTATTCCCTGGGCCTGGTTCCACGCTAGGTTGCTCCAAAAGTGTACGAGACTCAATTATTACCTGTGCCTAGAGGCATCACAGCACATTCGACAAGAAGCGCGGCAACCTCAGCGGCCTGGGCCACTCAAGCCCCTATAGCAGAACTATGTAGAGCAGCGATATGGGTTTCTCCATCGCCCTTTATTAGACATTACAAAATTGATGTCTTTGCATCCGCTGAAGCCTCCTTTGGCAGGAGGATGTTACAACGAGTCCACTCGGACAGTGGGGGAGCTCCAGCCCAGACGGAGACCCTCCCGTAGGACAAGGCAAGCTTTGGTATGTCCCACTCTCTGGATGCTCGGAGCAACTAAATGGAGAAAGGACGTTGGTACTTACCTGATATGCCTATTCTCTGTGACCTTCAACGAGCATCCAGCCCCATCCAGTATCTGTCTGGTGGGATCCTGTTCCTGCCAACGACTAAACTGACAGAATACAGAAACCAATGAATGACTAAATCACAGAAGAGGGTGGGGATCGCATCACCTCGTGTTCGCCAAAACTGGGGGATGCTAGGGAGGAGCCAGGGAGGAGCAACAGCATCCTAACAGTTAAGCCCAGCCTATCCAAGCAGAGACTAAGCACCTCCCACTCTGGATACTCATCACAGCTCATAGAGAACAGGCGTATCAGGTAAGTACCAATGCCCTTTTTGCCAACTGCATAAACAAAAATAAATTGCCATACTATCTCAAAGATACATTTGTTTTATTGTCACTTTAAAAATTAACTTGATATCTACCCAAAAAACATATTTTAAGAACAATTAACAGTTTGTTCAAGAACATTGTGGAACTGAGAATTGATAAGGAATTAGGCATTACAAACTTCATTTTCTTCCCAAGAAAACCTATCCTTCCATTACCTGCATTTCAAAATTTCTAAGTTTTACAAATAATATCTTTTTTTTAAAGTATATGATACTTGGAGAAATTGTATTTAAGATTTCACAGGTTTCTAATTTATAATGCTTTGTGTCAAAGAGCCATATGAAATATTTTAATTCAGCTTTAATTCTTTTTCTCTTAATAGCATAAAATGTCTGCAAAAGACAGTAAAGGATTCTTACCATATTATCTGCAGATCATGTGCCTGCGCCCTGGAGCTGTGTGCTAAGTGTGGAAAGAGGGAAGACATCGTGATTCCGTAAGATTTCCTGTAACTCCATAAAATTATTTAATGATTACCTTACAATATCCAATAATTCTGTCTGTCCTATGAGGTCATTAAGAGATGGCCCGCTTAAGATCTTGGCACCAGACAAGGTGGGAGGAGACATTGGATTATAGAAGCCAGGGCATTTCATCTGTGGGAGCTAATAGGTAGTCACAAGTCATCATACAAGGTTCTTGCTTAATGGCCCATGATTATCACTTAATTATGGAAACAGGGACTGCTGAGATTACTGCTGCTAAGCATTCTGATCACATGAACAAATAATTCCCTCAACAACTATTTACAAAGTCTGCACTACTATTACTATTAACCTTCTCATCACTCCTTATCACCCATACCCTCTTACTTGTGACTGTATGACTGTAACTTTGTCGCTTGTATCCTTACAATCTATATAGACTGTTTCCTAGTATGATTTGATTGCTTATACTCTGACTCTTATTTTGTGTTGTACCTTATGATTCTTGACTCTTGATGAATGTATCTTTTCTTTTATGTACACTGAGCATTTGCACCAAGACAAATTCCTTGTGTGTCCAATCATACTTGGCCAATAAAGAATTCTATTCTATTTTATGCTATCACCATATCACTTAGTAACAGAAATTTCGATCTGAATTATTACAGTTAAGCAAGGGCTTGCTGTTCTGTGTTGTACATTGCCAGAGTCATGTGATGTGGATTGCACACCTTTTGTGTTCAAGCTGAGGAGAGAAACCCCTTATAAATTGGGCATGTACTCCCATACCTGGGATGTTTCCTTCTTCTTGGAGTAGAAGTAGAAGTAGAAGTAAGTGTAAATGGAATGGAAGTTGAGTGTATGACATTGTTTTGATTTGAAGTTTGTAATTATGGTTTTGATAAAATATATTTTACACATACATTCTATATATTCATACCAATGTTAAAAATTAGGTCGACCAGTCTTACATCTGATACTGAAAACATGATGGCTTTAGAAACAAGATGGCAAAATATTCCTTGGATGTTCCTGTTTTAAGCAAATATAATCATGAATGGCTGTACATGAACATATGGGAGTAGGCTTAACATAGAATGCCATGAAACTTTTACTTCCACTTTGTGATATTCAGCATATTTTGTTATATCTCTAAGATAATGTTCATAATTGTATATGATCTAGCTGTGAATATAAAGAGATTCCATAAAACTCAAAGCTAAGAATGGTAGTTGACACCAGAAAAGGCAAAATCAATATTCAACAGAATTCCAAGAGGCTAGGATATTGTATTGAAATTAATAAGATAGGTATGTAAATTAAAAGGTGTTCAGGTTAGGAAAAATAGACATAAATATCAGATTAGGATATCTGCTTTGGAAATGGTATTGTAGAAAAGGATCAGGGTATCTTAACCATAAACTCATTGTGAAAGAACAGCTACTAAAAAAAAGAAAAAAGGGAAACTAAAGGAAGTTTGATGGGTTACCAAAAGTAACCATTCCATTCCATTCAACATGGTCAAATTTGTAATACTACATCCAGTTCTAGATGACTTAACTTAAGAACAAATTTAATGAACTGGTTCAAGAGAAGAACAAATAGAAAGGTCAATAGCTGAGTACAAAGTGGTTTTTTTTTTCTTTTTATTCCCCCAGCCCTGTGATGTTTTCCTTTTCCTGGGGTTCCTTGTCCAGATCTGTTGTAGCTCCCCTTTAGTGTCTCTGTAATTCTTAAAATCATTCACATTTCCACTTTGGCATGAGTATTGTTAAGTATTGTTTCTGTAAACTGTTAAATAATCAGTGTTTTATCATTTAGAATTTTAAACATTTAAAATAGTATGATGTATTTCTACCAATAGCCTACAGCTAAAATTATGGAAGATTTGCAATGTGAAACACTAAACAGTTTTAGATTTTGGCAGTGTGTCATTATAGAAGCAGATGGTATCTTTTGTGTCATTGGTGAAGTGCTGCATTGTACATGAACATTCTAGTAGAAAGAATGTTATGCTTGTACTGGCATGTCTCCTTAGGCATCCTGAGACATTACTTTGTCTGCTTCACCAAGCTCCAGGTTACACTCTGTCCATTCTTACATTAGATTTGTGCCACATGGAGGAATAGATAAAAGTTCCTTTTCCTTTCCTACCAGTAATAAAACCTAATAAATATTACTATCTTTCTATTTTTCATAGAATTCAGACAAATCTACAGCATACTGAGCAAAAGCCTTTCCAAAACCATCAAAGACAGAATAACAGAAAGGATGTATTTGAGAAAGATGATGAAACAAATTTAAGTGGCTTGGAAGATGAAGATCTGGATTTACTCATGTAACAGATTAAAAACTTAAACTGAAAACTACAGGGATCTAAACGATTTCTTCAAAACAAAGCTTTTAGGCATCGTTTCATTTTTTCCTAAATGATTTGTTGGACATTTTTGCTGTGTGTGGAATTCATGGCATCTGGAAACAGTTTTCACAAATCTTATGATTCCGTTTTCTTCAAGAACCAAATTTGCTTAAAGGTTCAGTTGTTAGGATAACTTTTTTATTTAACAAGTTAATAGCAACAAGCATGGTATCCCATATCTGACTTTAAAGTATTTTATTGTTTGTCTTCTTGCCTCTTCTGCCATTAAATTGTTTCTCCCTCAGCCTTACTTGAACACCACTGATCCTGTAAAGCGTTGTGAGGGCATTTTGTAATACACACACACACACACGCACACACGGAATAAAATATATAATAAACAGAGGCCAATCTTATCTATTCTGTGAAACCTAAAACAAGAACACGAAAGAATCTAGCCGTTTTACTTCAAACCCTTTGCACAGTGCCTAAGTGCCAGGAGCCCTGGTGGTGCCGTGGTTAGAATGCAGTGTTGCAAGCAAACTCGGCCTACAGCTCAGATTTCAATCCTGTTGGGGCTCAAGCTTGACTCAGCCTTTCATACTTTTAGCCTTCCAGGGACTTAAAGTGACACAGATTGTTGGAGACAATATACTGATATTGTAAACCGCCCAGAGTGTGCTGTAAAGTACTATGGAGCGGTATATAAGTCTATTGCTTTTGCTAAGACATAATGGCCATACTGATAAAGATTAAAAAACATTATCAAGACAAGTAACAGATCCTTTCTAAACTGTAATTACTTTTATTTGGAAAATGAATTGTCAGATTGGAGAAGGAAACCAGTTGCTTTACAATAAATATGTTTTGTATCCTTCCTATCCTTGGTTTGGAGAAAATTAAAGAAATAAATTATAGTATTATAAGAGCAGTTTGGATTGTATTTATTGTGGTGACTTTAAAAGCAGCAATGATGATAACTGCTTAACATGTAAATATAATATGTAGGATGACAGTTTTGTACAGGGGTGGGATTCAACTGGTGTAATAACCAGTTTGGTGAGCGCGTGCATGCACAGCATTTAAAAATCATCTTCTCCTGCAAGCCTCTCAACTTCTCCTGCCGCACAAAATCATCTTCTCCCGCCGCACAAAGCAGCTGTGGTTGAAAAAGCAGGAAGTAAAGGACAGCCTAGAGCCCAGGCTGGCGGGTGGGCCAAACAGAAGAACAGAAGGTTGTCAGAGCGAACTGGTTCCCTCTCAGCTGATGTTCGGAGTTACCGGTTTGGGAGAACCGGGCCGAACCAGTAGAATCCCACCTCTGGTTTTGCGCCTTGCTTGCCTATCACCACAGCAGACAACTGGACTTATATTTTGATATTACTTATTTATATGCTAGTTCTAGCTTAATAAATAGACATGCCCTTGATGATGATCAGGGTGATTTCCTGAAACAAAACATTCTTATAGGTATAGGTATGTTCATGTAGGAGCTAATGTCTTTTTTTCTCCTGAGTCATTTTTGAGACATTTATAGCCCTACTATTAAAAATGCAGCAACAAAATCAATTGCATTTTGCTGCTGTACTATCTCAATTTATTAAGTATTTATATAATTTCTGGTTGTTGCTTGGATTTTTTTTTTAAATACAACCTTAAAGCAGCAGCATCCATTCTCCATAGCCAGCACTACAGAGCCGAAGGAATTGATTTTGGTAGTGACTCGATATAACTTGGAGCCAGAAGCCAGGCGGATGGAAGTTGTGCCATAATCTCAAAACGTCCTTGAATGATTGGAACTGCAGTCAGACCAGTAATTGAGGGAGATTGTCCCATGGCTGAAAGATCTTTTCCCCCTTGCAATCCTCATTCTCCCACACAAAGGAGACCAGGGGAATTTATGTCTGTAGGAGGCAACTTGCTACTATCACATTTAATACACTTGCTATAGGCCTCATGAAATAGGAAATCAGCATACCAAGGGGCGTATGGAGACATTCCAACACATCATAGTTGCTGGATATAAGGAGAAACAGAAGAAATAAACTGGGGAGGAAATCTTGGGGATAGAAGGAACAACAAAGAATCCATATCAAGGGGCGCTTTTCCTACCAGCCTTCTGTCTTGCCAAGTTCTCAAGGCTTTGTGAAGATCTATGAACCAGATAGGAAGGCAGAGGTGATTTATTTGAAGGAATGCAAGTCCGTGTGTTTCTCATTCTTTTATAGGCATAGCACTTTCTATGCAGATACACGTTTAGTGTTTTGTTTTCCATGTTTAGGCCACCCATTATCTCTCTGCTTCCTAGGAGATTTTTAAATAGAAACCTTACTGAAGGGACAGATTATATCTGGCTTTTAGCTTCTTATCCCTGCCTTTACAGATGAGTAGCAACACCACTTGATTTGTACCTGGAAATGAGCCAAGGATTAGAAATAACTCTCAAACATCGGTTATCTCTTGCTCGGTTTTTTGCAGGGTTATCACAAGATCTTTGAGGTTTTTGCTAAGATCTGGCTTGCTGGTAGATGGTGGTTATTGCTTGTTTCTATTTATGTGGTTGCAAAAACATTTTTGTAAGGATTGAATGCCACTCAGAGTCTGCAAGATGAAGCAGCATAGAAATATTAGTAAATAGGTAAATACAAATCTTGGCCAGTTTTGTTTCTTAATCATGTTTAATTTGATCATGGCTATATAATAACTCATAACTTAACATTTGGACCATATTAAGTTGCAATCTTATGTATTTCGTTAGCTTAACGGAAGAAAAGATTGGGCTTTTTGTGATATTCTTACAGTTGCCACTCCAGGATAAACTACTTAATATATAGAGATAAAGATTTGAATCTCCAGAGGCAAAACTAGATTTTAACCACCTTTACTCCAAGGAGAAGAAACCTAATCTACACTAGCCAGAAATACGGATCTCTTACCAACAGCCTTTGTCTTTCCTGGATTCACTAAGGTTTGGATGATTAAACTACCTAGCTCATTGCTAATGGCAGGCATGAGTAAAGCATTTCCAGTGCTTCAGTTCTTTTTTATGTAAGGAAAATAGAACTGGATGTTATCATCATGGGAATGAGATAAATGCTATGAAACTAACAGATGCAGACATTCCCTCCCCAAAAAGAAAATGAGCTGTGAAATCAACAATCCTTGGATCATTACAAAGCGCTCTCAGTCGGAGCCTGCCAGCCTACCCAGGATATAATTTAGCTGCTGGTACCAGATGCCACCAGGAGAACCACTCCTCTTCTTGTGACTTAGGATATCTATTACACTGACTGAGGCATTTTCTGGGCCAAATGTTGGCCTGAAGTCTGATTCTTTTTCTGGCTCATTTTCAGTCGGTTTTCCAGAAGTGGCAAGAGTCAAAGAACACCCACTTACTCAAGCATTGTAACTAAAAAGGAGTGTTAATGATAATAATTTTAGCCTTAAAAGTCTAAGGAGAGTTTTGTACCAGCCTCTTACAAAGCACAATAGAGATCCATTGAAATTACAATATTTGTTAATTTCAATGTTCAATTAGGCAAAAATTCCAGAGTCACAGCTAAAAATATTCCACTATGCAAAGCAAAGTTGAACTAGAGTAATAGCAGCTGGAGCACAATCAAGTTAAAATACTTTATCCAATTATTTCCAGAATTATTTTTTAAATAAGACAATGCTAGTAGTTTATTGCTTAGATATCTGGCTAAATTAAAAGGACACGTTGGAAAACTGCCCTTAAAGGTCAGCTATTATTTTCCTTGGGCCTCTTTAGACATTGAAAACAAGGGTGGAAATTTATCTCTTTTCGCTATCTTTATGTCAGGTAGTAACAGAGAACAAGCACATCTACTAGAAATGTTGACAAGAAATTGAGAAACTCAAGTCTTTACTGTTCTGTGCAGCGATGTTTACTCTAGAGGCTCATGTACATTTGACGAACTTCCTCCTAACAAGCTGGGATACTGCTGGAAAAAAAATGGCTAAAGACATGGTCTAATACCCTAAAGGTGAAAGGAAATCCTGACGAGGTCAGAAAAATATGTCACAGAGCAAGCAATCTCTGAGAAATAAAGGGCAGCTTTTGCTACAATACGAGTGACTAAACTTAATAGTTCAGATGGCAAAGCTGCACAAGCAGATGGCACACCAAGCAGGACAAAACAGGAATTGGGAGGGGAAGAATAACAATTTTTTCTTCTTCCTGCAGTGCGACATTTTTGTTATCCCTTACCTATGTCTGGCAGAAACTTTCTATGAAAAGTTGTTTCTTGTTGACACCATTGCTGGCTGGGGAAGCCTCACGTGACATATAGCATAAGGCCAGTTCAAAATGTTCAAGCAGCCTTGTTTACAGTCATTAAGAGGGAAACTGCAGAAATTGTTCAGTTCATTCCAACTGCATTATCACAGCCCTATTTTTATTGTTTACAATGATACGGTTAACCTTTCTTCAAATGGCTAGTCCTCATTTGCCAATCACAATTGGGACTGCCAATTTTGTTGCTTAGTAAGAAAACCATTTGACGGTCCCAGTGTCAACTCATAAAACATTTTGTATACACAATGAGAGAGTTGGCTATCTGTCAGGATTCCAGCAGTTACTCCAATTAAATCATGAGCCTCGAGCCACACTCCCAAAACTGAAAAGGGTTTATTAGAAGTTAACATTCCGGCATTAGCTTGGGCATAGTCAACTCTGAGATAGGTAATTCACTATCACCCTTGATCCTGCTTCCCCCCCACCCCTCTTGGGTGTATCATCCAACAAAACACATCCATAACCAAGAGTCATCAATCATGCTCTCCAATTAGATTTTTGCGCAGCAGAAGCTCCAGTCATCTAATCAGTCTCTGAAGAAAATATGAATTGAATCTACTTTCGATTCCACACTGCTGCCTGCTCTTTGAAACTCCCCCCTTCTTTCTGTTGACAACTATAAAACATGTATACAAAATGTTTTATGAGTTGACATTCGGTTCCCCTCATTTCTTGAAGGTGACCTGTACAACACACACAAAAACAAATTGATTGCAGATATGGAAGCTTATGCTCACGAACCCACCCCCGCCCCAGGCTTGGTTGGATTTTCTGCATGGAACCTTGCTAGAAGGTGATTTGCTTGGATGTTCCTACTCTTTACCCATGATGCCTCTGATAAGGGGTAGCCCTTTCACTTGATTAAATATTGGAGTTGTCTCCTGTGTCACCTTGAACCAAGGATTTGCTGCATCTCATAATGGGTTTGACCTCCTATGACCATGGGATCTGGGGGCTCACGAGGTATGGGCCTCAGCATTGATCCAACCACAGGTTTTAATAGGCTACTATGGAATACCAGGTGTATTTACCCTAGAAATTGGGGCAACTTCAATTGCACCGTGACTGGGTTGATGATCTTTACTAAGGGGAATGGTCCCATGGACTTTGGCCTGAATTACTTGCTAGGGAATCTTAACCTCAGGTATTTGGTAGAGAGGTAGACCTTCTCCCCCAACTGGAATGGCCGTTGCAGGGCTCAATGTTTGTCTGCCTGTCTCTTATAGATCTGTGCTGCTTTTGCCAGCGCTTTTTTGATAAGTTGTTTTCAGTGTTGATATCCAATCAGTCAGGCTGACTGAGGAGGGGGGATCTCTTGGATACTCAGGCATTGGGACAAAATCCATAACGCTCACTACTTTGAAGGGGGTTAGTCCTGTGCTTCTGTGAACAGCATTATTTTACATGACCTCCGCAAAAGGCAGGAGGTTCATGCAATTTCTGCTTCAGTCATTAATTGAATCACTTTAGCTGTTAAGCAAAACATCACATGACCACATCTTGCAATTTTATTGTCAATTTCTCCATTGACTCTGCTTGTCAGAAGCTGGTTGTGAAGTGCACAAATGGTGATCACATGACTGTGGGATGCAGTAAGGATTGTAA